GAAATGAATGATGATTAGGAGCAAACTAAAATGTTTTCGGGAATCACGCGGTAGAGAAAGGCAAATCTCAAATTAGCTAAATTTAATGAGCAACTTCGAGAGCTGTTTGGCTTGGAGGGGACATTTTGAGTATTTTACTGCTTTTGGTAGTTGATGTTGATGAACTGGGCCCAGTTGTTAAGATCTATAAACTGCTGTGGAGCTGTGAAATTGCTCGAGTGAGTCACTTTGGTCACAGGAATTGATCCTCCCAATGTGAACTGCACAAACTGCCATCTAGTGCCCCTCTAGGCCCGAACTGCGCGATTTTGTTCGGATTAACTTGTTCAACGAAAAAAGCAGTGAGCTATATTTCGAAACCATATTTGCACAGCAAGCAAGCACTAGACCTTTTGCTGAGGCAATATGCAGCCTCATAAAAGCCCACATTTTGCCGCAACGAGCGTCTCCTTCCCCTTGCACAAGGACATAATAGATTAATGCGATTTCTTTGGAAGTAATCGCAGAGATGCACAAGTCAACAATGGAATTAAGCTGCCCGGAACGGAAGAAACCTGGAATGCATGCCTTACCTCTCGAGCCGCTATGGAAAAGTATGTATTTCGATCCCAATCATCAGCACCATTTATCCCACAACAATGCCAAGACTCCTGCATCGTGTCTATCAACACTTGTAGATCCGGATCATCACGGTATCCGACGACCTAAAAAACTGTTCTTCCGCGAAGCTTTAAAGAGGAATTCCAAACATTAAAAGCCGCGCCGCTTGCGATGACTCATTCAAAATCAATTAAAGCGACAGCGACAGGAATTCTCACGGTGACTCAACAAGCAAAAAAGTTTTCGCTCGGCAAAAACAAATCAGAACAGTACCACATCATTCAACAAGTTCCGGATATATGTATCCAACTGGTCTCGGCAAGCATACGCAAATACAGCACCAGCAAACTCTGCTATCAATAGTAAACCTAGTAGAGACGAGTATAACGTCAAAAAAGACGTGTTTTCCCGAAGTGACCCAACACAACCACTGAATCCTGAAGAAAAAACGATAAAAATAGACAGCTATTTCGCGATAGTAGGACAGAAAATCACAAAAACGAACCAATTACAAACGTGACTAAACCAACAACAAGCAATATCCACGTCGGGTCAAGGTATAATTTTGACGCCTGCAGCAAAGAGAAGTGTAAAAGAGAAAAAGTAAAGAAAGAAATAAAACTCTCACCTTATTCAAGTGGCTATAGATATTATTCTTCTCAATCTGCGCCCATACACCGATTATCAGTAATGCGAACCCGATTAAAAAGAATAATACATTGAAGCCGAAAACGGAATACTTCACACAGCAACTGATCTCTGTCTCTCCTCCTGCACCAGGAGCGTATCGAATCTGCTGAAATAATTGGAAATTTCTTCCAGATAATTTTGCTGTAGATAACTACCTAGATCTTCTCCTGTTTCATAGTGCGAAATCCCCTCCCCCGCGTGACGGAAAATCTTGGGTTGAAAAAGTGGAAAATGTGGGAAAGCGTTGGGGAAGGGGGAGGTGTACTGAATCCCATTTAGGCGGGGGGCGTACTACACCACCATTTCACACAACGCTGTCATGAAACTGTACTATTTGTTTCTGTTACACCAGCACAGTCTTGTGTTGCACTACACAAATGACTGAAAGCCTTTACATTGATAATACCGAGTGCTAGGCCGAACCGAAGCACCGGGACAAGTGCCGTTGAGGAAAAGTGCGGTGCGACAGGGTGACGTTGTGAAATTCATTCCGAGTACTGGAGCAGTTTTTTTGTGTATTTCAACCCCTGCAAGGCTTACGAAAGCGCCCGATTTCAAATTGATATGCATTTTTGAACAAACGCGGTTGGAACACCATGGCGCGGCCACCTTCAGTTACGCCTAATATTCCATTCAGGATCACTGTGTCTTATTGAATGTGATGTGGCCTAATCAATGGCTTTCGGGGGCAGACGATGTACGTGTCGGTGTTCTTATATACCCAGACGAATCTGCGCAGAAATATTGTCCCTTGAGGGTGGAAGGCTTGGTTGGTCTGGGCGGGAGCCAAACCGAGATGCGACTCCCGAACCGTGAGCGTGGCATCTCCGCCTTCTAGGGCCTTATTGGAAACAGATTTATTGTAAGTAGTAAACCCCTGCAAGGTTACGAAATAATCCTCAATCCGCTAGAAATCAATCGTACCGTTCGTAAGGTCTTGATGTTAGTATTAGCCGATTATTGGTTATGAATAACTCCTTTACCTACAATAAATCTGTTTCCAATAAGGCCCTAGAAGGCGGAGATGCCACGCTCACGGTTCGGGAGTCGCATCTCGGTTTGGCTCCCGCCCAGACCAACCAAGCCTTCCACCCTCAAGGGACAATATTTCTGCGCAGATTCGTCTGGGTATATAAGAACACCGACACGTACATCGTCTGCCCCCGAAATCCATTGATTAGGCCACATCACATTCAATAAGCCACAGTGATCCTGAATGGAGGAGCTGATCAACAGCAGAGACTTCTACACTTCCGAGGCCCTAAAAAGATAAAGGATAATGTCTTCGCCGTTGATCCGTCCCCTTTTTGAGTGCGGACGATTCTATTTCATTCGGAATCATAGTGGCTTATTGACTGGATGTGCCCTACACAATAACTCGGGGGCAGCCGATGTACAAGTCAGGGTTTTATCCTCCCGACGAATTCGGTACCAATTTGGCGCCCTGAGGGCCCAACCCTGATTGCCTGGGTTGGGGCCGATCCGAGATTCGAGCTCGACACGCGTGTCTGGTAAGAGTGTCTCTTGCTAATGCACCACTTAGTCTCTGTATGTCATAGCATTTGACAAAAAAATAGCCCAGGGACGGGAAAGGGCAACGTTAAGAATGACTGAAGGTGCAAGAAATGATTGCATGATCTATGAACCCTTTTCTCAAAAGATGCGAAAATCATTTCTGCGCAAGAAAGTGAATCACACACGTCAAAGCTCCTTCAACTCTAAGCCTGAACGGCATTTATCATTTCTCGTGGCTCACAATTATACCTCCGCACCTTCACGCACTAATGCCGTCAAACATAAAAAGTACGATGAAATGGGGTAGAAAGGAAGTTTGTAGTTTTTCGCAGCTATAGAGAAGTTCAAATGATTCTGCAAAATTACTCACTATGTCACCAGTTTACAACATGTTCCCCCCATCCCAAGCGGATTTCCGCTTGATGCAAAGCTTTATCAAGACAAACTATGGCACTGAAAGCATGACTGCAGAAATTAAAGCTACTGAGTGATTCCATTGTTCTGCGGAAATCGAAGAAGCACCAACCGAATTCCTATAAATCCTTTGAGCTGCAGGCTGCCTAACACGAGGTCGAGGTCGCGAACTCTGATGTGCCATTAGAGGCTTACTGAAACAATCGAAGATGCACAGCACGAAAACACCAACAAGTGGAACCGTGTACGAAGTACGAGCAAAACGCAAACAATTGGAGCAGTGGTACGCTTGGGAACGAATATATCACATTTTTTATCAAGCGGAAATAATCAATACTTCGTTTCTTTCAATATTGCAAACATTTCATCAGTAATTTCGCAAATTTACAAATTTGAAAACTGAATACAACCTGGTGCACAAGACCACAGTTTTGAATTTGGCCTAAAGGCATGAGACACGCTAATTCGGTACTCGGTCTAAAATGGTAGCAGAGGTGCTCTATAGTGGGGGAAAATGGTGAAAAAGCGAAGTGAAACCCTGCAAAAGAAGCCTGTGTTCTGCGCGATT